CAGTATTGTTTGGGGGGGGGTTTAAACCACTACCTTTTTTATCCCTTAATGTATAGATTTAAGAAGTAGATATTTGCGTAGGCACACACATATTTATGCATATACATAAATACAGATACACACATAGATTTTTTTTAAAGATGAGTCTTGCTGTGTAATCTAGGCTGACCTTGAACTTGTGATTCTCCTGCCTCAGCTTCCTGATTGCTGGGATTACATGTGTGCACCACCACACCCAGTTGCTATATTCATGTTGATTGATTTGTGTGTGCTGAACCATCCTAAAATCCATAATATTTTAAACACAGACAATTTTTTGTGTCTAATACAAGAACTGAAACAACCAGCATGAGGGGAGATAGTGTTAGGGATCCCAAGGCTAGAAACAGAGAGTGGGGGTCAGGAGTTAGATTCTCAAAAGATCATGGAAAATCACAGTCAGAAGCAGGGGTTGGAATGGGACCATCTATGAGCAGGGATTCTGTAAAGTTACGGGTTCTAATGCTGCTGAGCCCATCAGGCTCCAACAGATAACTCCAAAGCCATGGTCACACAGGCAGCCCTGTTAATGTCAGTGGGATAAACACACACACACACACACACACACACACACAGACAGAGAGAGAGAGAGAGAGAGAGAGAGAGAGAGAGAGAGAGAGAGAGAGATGAATGGGTGAGAGAGAGATTTGTGGGAAAGGTGGTCAACATGGATGGTAGAACATAGGAGGTGAGATTAGTCAGTAAGTATGCAAAGTGTACATATGTAAAAAAATTAACAATTAAGAAAAAAGAAAAACATATGGGTTCCTGCCTGAGCTGTTAACTTGGTGTTGAGGGGTAACTTCCATGACATTCAGAAACAATGTCAATCCCAGCACTTTGTAGCATTAACAGTTTATCATTGTGGGACAAAGAAACTTATTAGAAAACAGGGCACTCACAGCCACAGAGACACTCTTGAAGGTTTATAAATGGCCTGCAGAAGGTAAAGGAAGAAAATAACCACATTCAACTGCGATTAACTTCCACTCAAAGCCTCATGTTACCCCCAGGGTGATTCAGTTGCAGACAGGCAGCAAAACATAGTCCTTTGCATAGGGCTGTCAACAGCACTGGAAATACAGAGGCTGAAATGCTGCAGTACAGCCGTTGTAAGTCTTTAGAGCTGATGGGAAAGCGAGCAGAGAACAGAAACATTTGGAAGGTGGTGCTTTCTTGGAGTGCTAGAATGTGAGACCCAGTCTTGAGTACTTCTAACCTGCTGAGGCAAGACACTGTGGCTCAGTAGCTACACCTTGTAGGTGCTCTTTGTGACACGGGGGTTCTCTATTTGAAAAAGAATGGTCAGGGGAACTTGAGAAAGCCTAAGGTCCCTTCCCACTTTCCTCCTGATAGCCACCTGTGGAAGGAAGTACGAATGAGTAGCCACTGTTCTGGATGGAATCAGATAGCCTACTGATGGGTGTTTGTCTCCTCTACACTGTTCTGTCTTGTCTTGTGGCTTATTAAAAAAGCATATGTGAAATCAAACATCTCAGCCAACAGTTCTTTTCGAGGAATCCTCCCTCTTAAAAGGTATCTACATCACTCACAGACAAACTGCGTCACAGTCTAACAATACTTAATCATCTGCCACTCATGCGTGTTGGAAAATTCATAAAATACATTAAAAATCCTTGTTATTCCATGCAGAACCCAAAAGGGGGAAATGCCAAAAACACAGAAAAATGACCAAAAACTGATAATATTGATAATTTCAAGGCAACATCATAAACATCAGCTATGGCTTTCCACAAGCACCTAGTAGACATGGCTTCCCTTTAGAATGTATTGCTAAGAGTAAAGTGATGGTCCAGTCATGAAAATGAGAGCTGGCAGTGCTAAGACATAAAGATTTCAGAGTCAAACCCCTACCCTACAGAATGGAGCAATTTATTACTCCATCCTATGAAGGCCTAAATGTTTATTTGAAAAGTTGGTTGTGGCAGTTTTAGGACTCTAAATACCTAATCAGGAATACCTGGTTGGGTGACAGAATGCATCTGGACACATTAACTTTTTTACTTTCTCAAAAACACTGTTCTCCTCTTACCCATCCTTTCTCAAGTTGCAGTTTTTCACATTCTAATAATACTTTCTACCAAACACATCCAGACAACCTTAGTGTTTATTACAAAGAATGGCAGACTCATCAAAATTGTGCTACTATGAAAACTCCCCTCTGTACACAGTACCATTGACTGCAAGGGAATATTTATCTGTCTGTCTGTCTGTCTGTCTGTCTATCTCAAAGTGATGCTGATGATCTAAAAATTCCTAAGCATTGGGAATTTTAGAGAGCCCTATACCAATCAGGGTTATCTAGAGGAACAGAACTTATAGAATGGATGTGAGTATATATATGAATATATATATGGAAATTTATTAGACTGGCTTACAGACTGTGGTCCCACTAGTCCAACAATGGCTATCTACCAATGGAAGGCCTAAGAATCTAGTAGTTGTTCAGTCCTCGAGGCCGGTTGTCTTAACTGGTCTTCTGAATCCCAAAGAAGTAGGCTCTAATGCCAGTGAAGGGATGGACTTGCTTCCTTCTTCCATGTCCTTTACATAGGCTGCCAGCAGAAGGTGTGGTCCAGATTAAAGGTGAATCTTCCCATCTCAAAAGATCTGGATTAGAAGTGAGTCTTCAAACGTCAGAGGATTTAGTTAAGAAAAAATCCCTCTGCTCAACCATTTGGGTTTTAGTTAATTCCAGATGCAGTCAAGTTGACAACCAAGACTAGTCATCCATGAAAAGGGGTATGGGATTGATGCCATTGCTTCCCACAGTGCTTTGCAGTCTCTGTACTAGGGACGAGATTGGTGGGTTTCTGGTGGACTTTGATGAGAATGCTGTCAGCTCAGTAGCACTTACTGTTAATCCTGACCCTAGGGTAGGGTATATACGTGAGCATTTGACTACAGAGAAGTTTGGCCATCATTTGGGAGAGGGAAGAGTTTTCCAGAAGGCAAGTTGATTGGCATCTTTTTTTTAGTTTGCTTTAGTTGACAATGGCAGCCTCAACTGTATGTTTTTTCTAACAACAACAACAAAACTACATTCTGCTCTTTGTTGTAACAAAAAGAAGATTTAAGAAGGAAATGACACTGGCGTATGGTATCACTCCAAACCTCACCGCCACAGCCCCACATCTTACAGCACAGGGGTGATTCCAGACTACAAGCCCTGGCCCTGCAAGGCACGGCTGGGAAAGGTAGCTAGAGTGAGATTGCAATGTGAAGTGAACTTTTCCTTGCTCTGTGGCCACTGTGAGGTAAGTCAAATCCAAATCCAAATGTTTTAGAGGACAAAGCTCTTGAGCAAGGATCTGACTTCTGGAGTTAGAGAATCAAGGCTACACTGGCATTCTATAATGACTCACACATAAAACTTCCTTAGTGTAAAGTAATGAGTACACAGGTTGGTTAAGGTGTCAGGCAGACTGGGCTTGAATCTACCTCCCACCTACCAACTCGGGGACCTTTGGCAGGGGATGTCATCTTGACAGGTCTCAGTTTTCTTGGCTATGGAAGGGCTGTAACACCACCTCTTAACACACTGCTATTGTGAAAAGTAGATAATTTACTATTCTGAACTTTTTAGCACAGTGTCTGGGATATCCTACAAGATCAATAAACACCCACAGTGGAGAGATTTAGCACATCACTAGAAAGTACACATCATAGATTTCCTGGCAGAGAAGGCACAGCAGCAGAGACACAGGAGGTGAATTACTTCACGTCACACAGCAGAGAAATGGTGGAGCCCAAGTTCTTGGGTTGACTTTGGTGTAGACTGCTTTTCTTTAGAGTCTAAGTACAGGTGACTAAAATACCAGCTGACCGTTGAAAGTTTATAAATGATGTTGTCCTGTGGCAGTCTTGCAGTCTTATTTTGATTTGGGTTCATTGTTTTTCTGGTTTTGTTTTAGTTGTTTGTTTTGCTTCCCAGCGTTCACTTTCTACTGCAGCTCGAAAACCAGCCCCAGGCCCAGCCTTAGAGCCTTGGGATTCCAGGGCCTTCCATGTTTTAGGGTATTTAGGCTCGTGGTGACGTGAAGTTAATCCACAAACTACACTAAATTGTGTCACATGAGTTGGTTGTCTTTCTCTTGCTGATAGAATCCAGCCACTGTCTCTGGAAATGGAGTCATCAAAAGACCGGTGGTTCTATTATGATTTCCTTATTCTGGGCACTAGATGTCACACTAAGTCAAGCTTTAGAAGTGACTTGACTATGTAGGGTGTGGCAATACCTACTATACATACATATATACATATATACATATATATATATATCCTACAGCTTTTAGGTAAATGTAAAGCTTAACTTTGAATTTCTAGTAGAATCCAGAAATACTTTCTTTTACTCACACAAAAAAATTAGAACTGTTAATCAGAAAACAGCAGCTTCTTGGCATCTGTGTTCCATTAAATACGTCTTGCTTACATGCACATTAAAAACTGTTTCATTCCAAAAAAAAGGAGTTTTCTAAAGACAGTTTTATACACACTTCTGTGTTGTCATTTGTAAGGCTTCCCCCCACCCTTTGTCTTTTTGTGTTGTTTGAGACAGTGTCTCATGGAGCCCAGGCGGGCCTTGAACTTGTTAGGTATCTGAGGCTCTTGAACTCCTGATCCTCCTACCTCTGCCTTCCAAGTTCTGGGACTACAAACTGACAGTCCTCTGTGTTCTGAGATGGCGAGAAACTGTTCTTCCCAACAAAGAAACAGACAAGATCTAACCTGCCAGGAATGGAGAGGGTCAAAGGGGTGATGATGAATGAAAGGCTAGCTGAACTCACAGAGCAGGCTAGGCCCCCAGCCTCCGAAGCTCACTCACTCTGATTTTGGCTCTCAGAAATCTATAGCTGTGAATTGCGCGTGGAGATTTTCCTTTTGGAAAATTCATAGATTTTTGTTGTTTGTTTCATTTAAAAAAGAAAACAATGACCTTAAGGAATCTGAAGTCAATGACTTAAATGCTGAAATTTCAGTGAATTTTTATTGAAATGTTTGGAATTCATTGGAGGCTAGAAAGAATTAATTTAAGCCAGATTGAAAGCTTATAATTAAGTCTTAGGCTTAGCAGTTTGTTTTTTCAAGTAACTCAGTAATGAGTTTGAGCTGTGTTTAATGATCTGCATGAGTGTAGGCACATATTTCTATTGTAATTAAAGTTGTAAATCATGTTTCCTAGGTTTTCAGCATTTGTAGGTAATATATGATGACAAATAATTTTCAGTTGGAACGAACCAGTGAATATCATTGCCCTGTGTTGAGGTTGCTTTGATAAATTGGGTTATAATTGATAAAATAACACTTGTTTGTATGGTGTGTTTATATGTGGGTGTGCATATGTGAGTGTGTACACAGGCCAGATTTAGCCTCAGATGCCACTCCTCAGGATGTTGTCCACATTGCGTTTTGGGACAGCTTGGCTCACATAACCTGAAATTTACTGATTCAATTAGAATATCTGGACATCAGGCCCCAGGAATCCACCTGTCTCTGCCTCCTAGTTCTGAGACTACATCCCGTGCCACCACCCCCAGATTTTTACATGAGTTGTAGGTATTGACATCAGGTCCAAAATACATTCTTTGAATTCACCTGTTTCTTCCTCTAACTCCGGAGATGGATGAACAGTCATTTGAACAGTGCTTTGTATTTTTGACTGGTTCTGTTTAGCTGTGACTTGGCTCTTTGCCCCTAGGAGTTATGATTACCACTGCCTTATGTTTGAACAAACCAAGGTCCCTGCAGATGTCCTTCCTTTCTTCTTGCATGCCAAAGCAGGGGGCAGGCACCCACATGGAGACAGCACAGGCTGGTTTTCCTTCTCCAATAGCTGTGAGGACCTCAGTGAGCCGTCCGGGTTTTGGTTGCTTCATTCTGTCTGGAAATACAGAAAGGCTATAACCCATCTTAGTGGAGGATGTCCCACTGTCTTTGGATGAACTGTAGGCAAGACTTTTTTCTATCAAGTCAGGGTTGGTTTTTGCTCAGTGCACAAGAGGGTCTGCTCTATACTCACTCATCAAGGACTTACTGAATCACAGCTGTGGCAGTGTCTTGGTAATAAAGGACCGCCCTTCTTGGAAATACAGGTGTTACCTGTCCAGTAGAGTAAAACCAGTGACCTTTGGCCTGATTTGGACTGTTACTGCTTCCTGGTTTTCCTACTGACTGACCTTTTTTGATTTAGAGTCTTCAGGTCAGTCCAAGACTTTCCATGGTGCACTTTTAAGAAATGCGGTGATGCCCGGCCGTGGTGGCGCACGCCTTTAATCCCAGCACTCGGGAGGCAGAGGCAGGCGGATCTCTGTGAGTTCGAGGCCAGACTGGACCGATAGCCTCCAAAACAATACAGAGAAACCCTGTCTCGTAAAAACCAAAAACAAAAACAAAAAAAAGAAATGCGGTGATTTTTTGTTTGTTTTGATTTTGAGACTTTGTTTATTTTATTTGTTTTGTTTTGAGACAGAATCTTGTTAAGTTGCTCTGTAGCAAGCAACGGGCCTATAATGCTATGTAGACCAGGCTAGTTTCAAACTTGCATCCTCCTGCCTCAGACTCCTGAGTTGGAATCATAGACGTGTGCCACCACCATGTCTAGGTTCATACACAGGAATGTACTGAAGCTCATCTGACTTCAGTTCAGCCAATGTTAACTGAGCATCTACAATGTGCTAGGACTTAAAAAAAACAACAACAAAAACAAATGACACATCAGCCATATGACTCTTTAAAAAGCATGAGGAAGATAAGACAGCCATGCCATTCAAAGATACTGGCTTGAGTTTGGAATCTCAGTGTGAAAAACGGTCAATATGAGAGACAGAAGGCAGAGGGTCTGGAAACATAGTAAGGAAACTGAGTCACAAAGGGAGTGTGGCTTCTTTCAGGTCACTCGGCCTTGACCAAGTTGAGCTCATCTTTGGGCCCTACCCCAGAGAATGTAAATGCCCTGCTGTTGAGCATTTTGTTTTATTCAGGGTGGACACACACAAGGCCAGATAGTTTTGTGTGATCAGCCCAGGGGTTACAGACTGTGTGGGCTTATAATGTATCTGTGAACTATATATTTATTTCCCTACAGGTCATGGATTAACAGCAGTCAAAGAAAAGGCTGGGGCAACCCTGCGAATCCACAGTGTCAATTCCGGATCTCCTGAAGGGGTACCAGCTGATGCCGAAAATGGATTTTCTGAAAGTGAGTGGCGTATTCACCTCGCGTTCGATTTTATCACAATGTGTGCACAGTTACACAGTGGGAAAGAGCCCAAGTTCAGATCAGCAGAACACATTCTAACAGGGGTGTTCTCTCTCTTGTGACAGATACGACTCCTGCTCAGGACCCTGCGGGAGGCGCCCACACTTCTCCACCAGGGGCGGCAGGGTCCAGGGGCATGCTGTCAGCCCTCACCAACGTGGTTCAGAACACGGTGAGTCCCTAGCTGCCCCCTGTCTCCCCTGGTGGCTCCCTTCTTTTGATCTCTCCATCTCGTGACCCAGATACATCAGAGAAAAGGCAGACTTGCTCGTGGCTCTGGATTATGGATGGCTTGTTATGCTTTTTGCTACAGAGTAGGTGTGACCTTGGTTCTGAAATAAAAGGGCAAGTTGAAATGTGGCCTACGTTTAAAAGAAGAGCGTGGTTTAGCGGGGACATTTTTTTTTTCCAATCTGATTTAACTGTGACCTTTCCTGCTGCTGCAAGGACAGCCTCTGGGTGGGGGAGGAACTCAGAGCCAGGGCAGGTCTTCTTCCTGGATCATGTCTCGGTGTTCTTAAAAGTACGAGACTGTCTACATACAAAGTATGTCACAAGTCAAGAGGAATAGCCCAGAGACCAACCCTGTCACAGCCCTGCAATGCCTACTGTGCCCTTCCTTGAAGAGCCCTAAATATATCCCTGCAAGTCCTACCCTTCCTGTTTATTCATTTTCATTTAAGTTAAGTGGATATTGTTGAAGGACAGATGCATAGCCATCTCACTCCTAAAGGAAGCCTGCTATCTTATTGACCACAAAACACTGATGAGTGTTGAAAGGAAGCGGAGGTACCTGGTCCTCAGAGCCAGGAAGAAAAGATTCAGTCTACTCTCTCTAGAACAAACTAACTAGATTCTCTCGAAATATGGCTCATGTCCTTTTTCAGTCATTTACCCATGTGTGATTTTGAAGAGAGACGATTGCCCTCACTGTATACCAGGAACCTCATCAGACTCTGGCCAATAGCTGTTGCCAGATTTTGCCATATTAAGTCAATTCAACAATGGAATGCAATGCACTATGAGAGAGGGGATTGTAGATGAGCAGGGGAAGTTATCTTACCCAGATGCTGGGGTGAAATAAAGAAAACGACTGTCCTGTACTTGCTCGTTGAGGGCCCCTGGACCGGGCAGGAAGAAGGAGGCATGCCAAGAGTGTTTTAGTAGTCACCACAACAGAGCAGTTCAAGGGCACCCATGGGGGTAGCGGAAGCTCACTCAGTAACTCTGGAGTGAAAAATGAATGCATAGCTTGTCACTTCCCTTTTTGAAACTAAAATGTTTGTCATTGTTATTGTGTATGCACATGATGGGAGGTTGCTCATATGAACATGAGAGGACAACTCTGTGGAGTCAGTTGTCTCCTTCCACTCTATGTGAGTTCCGGGGATGGAACCCAGGTCATCATGTTCATGCAGCAATTGGAGCCATCTTGCCAGCCCCGAGCAATCCACTCCTGAGAGCACCACGCACATCCTCAGCTCCCTTTTTGTGCTCTGAAGCTGCTTGCCTTCCTTCCCACAGTCCCACCCCAAATGCAGGCTTGCCCTTGTCCGACAGTGCACAGACACTTCCTGTTCTCACTTTATCCTCTACGGAAGTGGCAGGATGTTGGGGGCCCGTAAATCAGCGTGTGCCAAAGTACAGCTGCTGAGAAGCCCGGCGTCCTCTGTATGCTTCGCTTTTATCATTGCTGGGACAAAATGCCCAACAGAAATAACGCACAGAAGAAGGTTTAGTTTGCTTACGGTTTGAGAGACTTGAACCATGGTTGTTTGCGCCATGTGCTTGGAACAGACGTCATGACGTCACGGTAGTGGGAGAACGTAAGCAGGGAGCTCTTCGCCTTCTGGCAGCCAGGATGCAGAGAAAGGGAAGGTACTGAGAACTAAATAAAGCCTTCAAGGTACACGCCCTGGTGGCCCACTTCCTCCGACTAGGCTCCGTCTCCTGAAGTTTCTGGAACTTGCTAAAATAACACTAGTAGCTGAGGACCAAAGATGCTCATGAGCCGGCGGGGGACACTTTATATTGAAGCCATAGCATCCTTCAAAATGTCTGATTTTGCAAGTCTGTTCCATAATAGCATGAGTATTGATTTTGTGCCAGACTTGAAAACAAATTCCAAATGCTGGAAATTCGTTAAGGCTGAAAACTGCCATTTAAGTCATTATGAAGATTGAAAAACACCCAGAGATGATATAAAAATGAAACCTGACATTTTCATGTAAGGAGAGAAAATACAGTTGTTTGCAGATTGCAGTTAGAGTTTATTGTTGGAGTTCTGTCTTGGGGTTTCAGAGCAATGTGGGTCTGTTCATCTGAGCAGTGTGAGTCAGTCTCTGTTGTTTTCATTTCCGTGAAAAGGAAAACAATGGCTGGCAAAGGGATTTTTCCTGAGTGATACCTGGATAATAGGACAGTTTCTACAGCTGGAAGTACATGGAGGGCAAACTGTCCTACTTCATTAATGTACCAATTATATTTGGTGTTCATCGGTTTCTGAAAGTACGAAAGAGACATCTGAAACAGCCTGAGGGTCCAGTGCTTTGGGGCCCTGGATTAAAAAATCATCTAAATCAGCCTGAGTATTTGACATTTTAATAACCCACCCCAAATAATTCTGTTACTTATGCTAAAATTCTTTCTAATGAACACGGCAATTGGGTCATCCGCTAATTTTACATCTTAGATTCATATCTCTTGATATGCTCAGAGCCACTGACGTGAATCCCAAATGTGCATCATCTTTTAATAACACCACATGCTCTACAAATTATGCAATATGCAGTTTTTCAAGAAAAAAAAGAAAACAGGATTTAAATAGATGATCAATGTCATGGTGTGAAAAACTTGTAGCTTTCTATTGATTTTAATATTTGAAGAGAGTGCTGGGTACATGGGAACTGTAGGCTACTGCAAAAACAGCAGGGTGTAGAACATCTAATCTCATGTGTTTTTCTCATTTGCAGGGCAAAAGCGTCTTAAGCGGAGGTCTGGATGCTCTGGAATTCATTGGAAAGAAAACCATGAATGTCCTCGCAGAAAGCGACCCAGGGTTTAAGCGGACAAAGACACTGATGGAGAGAACCGTTTCCTTGTCCCAGGTTGGACTAGATCCTTTGCTGATTTTTTCCTTTCAGCCAATAGAATCAAAGCATGTGTTCAAACTTAGGTGGCACAAAAAGCAGGAAGAAGGCCAGCTTTCTGACACAGTCCACTGAAAACCTCGTGGGAGGCAAGCATGTTAATGGTCCCCTGTGCACGCTGTTGGGTATCTCACAGACATAGTGATAAATAAGCATTTGGGTTTAGGAGTATGCATGTTGCTGTACATATAGATGTACACACACACACACACTCCACCCAAGTGGCACCATATTGATCACACTTGCATACATTCTTCATTTAATAATCTTTTGAAGATTTTTCCATGTATGCCATTGTAAGTACCTCAGTTCTGTCGCTTACCATCTGTACAACCTTGTGGGTCTCTGTGCCTCAGTTTATCCCCTGTGCAGTAAGGTGACAGCAATACCTCCTGATAACTTCATTGTGATGATTACATGAGCTAGAACAGAACCTGATAGAGACATGTATGTGTACATACATATATAACTTTTATTCTAGGTAAAATGATGATGATATTGGAGAGACTGAGTCTAAAATCTGTCAGCTCTAGCTACTTTTGTTGTAAAACAAAGAGGGGGGTTTTGAGTCAAATTTCCCAAACTACCATAGTTTTTGTGACACATTCATGATTTTTGTCAGAGCTGCATGCTAGTTGCATTTAGAAGGCTGCACCACACATGGAAATGCGTTACCCAGCACCCACAGGGCCAGCAAGGATGCTCCGTGTTGAAAGAGTGAGCCACGATGAGAGTTGTCAAAGACGAGAGCAGAGGGACCATGGCTGCAGATGTCGGCTCGTCACAGGGGGCACTTGCGGGGCCGTCAGTGAGCTGGGGGAGCTGCTGCAGCATTTGGAGGGGTGATGGGAACTGACCTGGGTTTTGAAAGGGTCACCATGGTTACCGTGGTGAAGAGAGAGTGTGTGGAGGGAGGGAGTAGGGAGTAATCCACTCAGAATGTGCATCAGTCTCGTTCCTCACAGAAGTAGGTCTTGAGGTGGGCTGAGATGTTCAGGGATTTACTCTGAGAGAAGACAGGTAGGGAACTTCTAAAGCCTGGGAGGATGGTTCATGTCAGAACCCAGTGAAGGAGGACCAAAGCGGGGACTGGACGGCAGTGTGCCAGACTGCCATACAGCCTAAGGAGCTTGGCGAGGGTCATGGGGAGTCCTCTGGGTGATGTCATCTGATGCCAGCAGGGTGACCCTACTGCCCCCTCCTCAATGCCCTGAGGTTAGAGTGACATCTGTGTTTTATTACAAGTGTTAAACCTTCCCAGTGATGGTTTCACTGGGTTATTTTGAAAACATTAAAAGTCAGAGCCTTACTAATTTAGTCTTCAAGATAGACAGGAGAGAGAATTCCTTTCACGGCCTAATGGGATCTTGGCAAACAACCTCAAGAGCCCAAAAGGAAAGTATGGCTGCCTCTTTTATTGGCACATAATAAACACCAGCCTCTGTTCTTGGATGTGCTTCCCCCTGTGACCTTGTGGCATTGGCCTGTGTGTTTATGGGGCTCTCTGCAGATATTAAAGGACTCTATAAACTTAATGTCCTTGTAAACTTAATGAGAAATCAAATAAAAGAGGTCTAGCATCAGAGCAAGCAAGTGCAGAATGTTGTTAATAATGGACAGGCTCGTGTCCATTCTGTCGTCTTTGCATTTAAACAACGAAATAACTGGAGGATCTTGGGGGTGTGTTTCTCTTTCTTAGCGTATACAAGGCCTGGGTTCCATCCCCAGTGCTGCAAATATAGGTGAAAGAGGGGGAGATGAAGGGAGGTGAAGGAGAGGAAAAGAAGGGAAGGGAGGAAGGAAATATAGAAGTTATTAGTGTGAACAGAAACCCAAGCATCTATATAAGTGAATTTCTAGTCGGTGTCCGCTGATGAATACGTCATGAGTTTACATTTATTAACTCTTTTCATTGAAGATGTCTCACGCTTCATCCATGGAAATCAAACCAGCTTCCTTCTGTTTTGAAATCTGCCTGGGTGCAGAATTCTCAATAAGGTCACAAAGAATCAGCCTTTCCTAGTGTCAGGTCCAGAAGAAACTCAGGACAAATGCCTGACTGTGGTGCCTATTAGCATATCAGAGTGTATGCTGGTGTCCAGGCTCACTCAACACGTGGCTCCTCTCAGCTCTTCTCACCCTCCCACCCCACCCCTGTACCCTAAGCTTCTCCAGCCTGTGGACTTCCCTTCCTCCAGCTTCTCATTCCCATGTAAGCCTGCCATCTCTACCATGCTCTCTTTGCTTCCTCTTTCTTGGTCCCCTCCCTCTTGGTTCTCTCTTAGCTCTTGACTCTTGGTCCTCTTGGTCCTCTTGGTCCTCTTGGTCCTCTTGGTCCTCTGTCCTCTTTGTGCTCTCTCTCTCTCTCTCTCTCTCTCTCTCTCTCTCTCTCTCTCTCTCTCTCTCTCTTTCTCTCTCCCCTCTCTCGTCCCTTCCTCTCTCACTCTCCCCCTCTATCTCCTCTCTTGGCTGGATTCAATCTACTGGCCAAGTTTAGTCTACCACTCTCTCGTGCTGCTCTGGACTCTTCCGGATGCCCCTGGCTGTTCTCTCTATCTCATGTCTACAGTGAAACCCCCTCAGCCATCCCTTGGAGCAGCCATGTCCTCATTTTATAGATCCGGTGCATTGGAAACTGTGAGTCTAGAAAATCTGACGCTTTCGAAAAGAATGAACCGTGAGTGGGAAAGACCTCGGTGGGCAGCAGAGGAAGCCTTTGTGTGTTCCTTCCACTCTTACGCTCAGGCACAGATGCCTTGCCACTTGGCTCAGCCAAAAAATGAAACAGAATATGTAAACATTAATAGACAGTATCAATCTAGTATCTAATTTACATTTATTTAAAATGTATTTTTAAATGAAATGTAATTACATCATCTTCCCCCTTCCTTTTCCTCCCTTGAACCCTTCCCCCTTGCTCTCTCTCAAATTCATGGCCTCTATTTCTTTAACTATTGTGTGTGTATGTGTGTATTAATACTGTAACACATATATGTGTGTATATATATATGCATATATACAATTTCTAAATATATAAGCACAACCTGCTTAGTCTGTATAAAATTACATGTATGCATATATTTTCAAGCTGACCATTTGGTACTGGATAACTAATTTGGGGGCTCTTCCCTGGGGAAGACTATTTCGCCCACTCTCAGCCTTCCTTAGCTACCTATAGTCTTTTGCATAGGATTGAGGCCCCATGAGCTTCCCCCCTTTCGTGTCTATTGTTGCCTTTGTTCAAGTCTTGTTTAGGCAGCCATGGTCATTAGACTTCATGGGGACCTGAAAAACTCTTCCCTGAGGACTAGTGTTTATGGTATCAGAAGGCACTACGCAAGCTTCCAAGGAACATGAGCAACTCATAGTCCTACCCAAGCTATGATGCCTATGAACTAAGACAATGATCTGCATGGGGAAGGGTGTAATATAGCAGCACATATTCCTGGGCAGTGGCCAACAGCTTTCTAATTGGACCTAATACCCCCTCAACACGAGGGAGATTATACCCAGTCCTAGAAACCAACCCAAGCACCCAGAGCTAGTGAGGTCAGGGAGGAGAATCTACTGCCACCTATTTACGAAGAATCATCTTGAGAAATTCCAAGTGATAAAGGTGATTTTTTTTCAGATAGTGCCTGTCTTCCCCATCGCCTCAGTATCTTGCACAGGAAGGCCCCATGGAAAGATCCATCTAGTGCATGAACCTTGTGTCTCTGCAGATGTTGAGAGAGGCCAAGG